CAAAAGAATCGGTAAAAGAAATATTCTGGAACTAATAAGCAATTATAACAAAGTTTCACAATACAAAGTTAACATACAAAAGCCAATCACTTTCTTATATACGAGTGACGATCGAGTGAAATTTGAAATTAAAATCACAATAGCATTACGTTAGCATCCAAATAAATGAAATACTTAAGTATATTTCTATCAAAATATATATAAAATATATATGTGAAGAATGACAAAACTCTGATGATCAAAATAAAAGGAGGATAAAATAACTAGAGAGATATTTCATGTTTATAGATAGGAAAACTCAATATCGTGAAGATGTCAGTTCTTCTCAATTTGATCTATAGATCCAATGAAATCCCAATCATAATTTCAGCAAATTATTTTGAGATTTTTTTTCAGAGAGGCAAAAGACACAGAATAGCCAGCACTATACTGAAGAAGAATGAAGTTGGAGGACTAATACTACTTAACTTTAAGACTTACTATAAGGCTATAATAATCAAGACATTGTGGCATTGCAAAATAATAGACAAATAGATCAATGGAATAGAATAGATAGCCTAACCTAGACTTTCATAAATGTAGTCAACTGATCTTTGACAGAGGAGCAAGAGCAATGTAATGGAGCAAACGTTGTCTTTTCAACAAATGGTTCTGGAACAACTGGATATCCACATACAAATAATAATAATAATAATAATAATAATAAGAAGAAGAAGAAGAAGAAGAAGAAGAACAACAACAACAACAACAACAACAACAACAACAACAACAACCTACATACAATCTCATACTCTTCACCAAAAAATTAACTTAAAATGAATCAAAGACTTAAGTGTAAAACATAGAATTATAAAATTCTTAGAAGATAACATAGAAGAAAACTTAGATGACATTGATTATGGCAATGATATTTTAGATATAACACTAACTATATGATCTATGAAAGAATTAACTTATATGCTGGACTTCATTAAAATTAAAAATATACAAAGAACTCATAAAATTCAAAATAGGAAACAAACTACCCAAAATGGGCAAAAAACCTTAACATACAACTCACCAAAGAAGATATATTGATGTAAATAAACATATAAAAGGATGCTCCACATCTTATGTCATCAGGAAAATGTAAATTAAAACAACAATGAGATATTACTGCATACCTGTTAAAGTGGTGAAAACCCAGAACACTGACAACATCAAATGCTAGTGAGGATGTGGAGCAACAGGAATTCTCATTCAAAGCTGGTGGGAATGTAAAATGGCACAACCACTTTGGAAGTCATTTGGCATTTTCTTAAAAAAACTAAAAATGCTCTTACCATATGATTCAGCGATCGCACTTTTTTGTATTTACCCAGAGAAGTTGAAACTTAGGTCCACACAAAAAATTGCACACATATATTTTTAGCATCTTTATTCACAATTGCCAAAACTTGAAAGCAAGATATGTTTAGTATGTAAATGGGAAATAAAATGTGGTACATCCAGGGAATGGATTATTCATTGCTAAAAATAAATGAACTCTCAAGCCATAAGAAGCATGGAGGAACTATAAATGCATATTACCAAATGAAAAACATCAATCTGAAAAGACTGTATACTTTATTATTCCAACTATGTGACACTATAGAAAAGTTAAAACCATGGAGACAATAAAAAGATTAGTGGTAGCCAGGGATGGGGCTGTTGATGTACTGGTATTTATAAATAGGCAGAGCAAAAAGGATTTTTAGGCAGAGAAAATACTCTGTATAATATAATGATGGTTATGTTGTCCAAACCCAAAGAATGTAGAACACCAAGAATGAAACTTAATGTAAAGTTAGGACTTTGGTTTATAATTAAGTGTTAAGTGTAGGTTTATAAAATGTAACACATGTCCCACTCTGGTAGGAGATGTTGATAATGAGGAAGACAGCGCATGTGTGGTGACAGGAGGTATACAGGAAACCTCTGTACCTTCTCAATTTTGCTGAGAATTTAAAAATGCTCTAAAAATCTCTTTACATGTGTGAAGTATGCAGGACAAATGTTTCCATGTTTATTTTACACACAGAGAAATTGGAGGTCAGAGAGTTACATAACATTGTTACCTGTAATAACCTTACAGATAATAAATAGAGTGGGATAAAGGCATTTCAGACATATGACTTCATGCGGTGTAAAGTCATCAATGAATTCAAACAAGAATTATTGTGTTAATCAGAAATGTATATGTATTTATGTATATGCCTAAGATACATTGAAGGTTACTTATGGATTTTTATAGTGAGCAGTGTATTTTGCATACAAAGATTAATATTTATTCTAAATGAATAAATCTATTTTAAAAATCAGCAACATTTGAGAATAATTTTTATTGCTGGGACAATGAGCAAGAATCTCCCCCAAAAATGTAAAAAATATTGAACAGACAGTTGAAAAATAATCTGTACTCAAAATTTCAGATTATCTAACTCTTTAATAATGTAATTTTTAAAGCAAATATATATACGTATGTATATATATATATGTGTGTGTACGTATGTTTTTGTGTGTGTGTGTGTTTGTGTTTGTTTGGGTGTGTGTATATAAAGTATCATAATTCTGTCTGGGTAGCCTCAACACTTCTACAGATGTTAAAGTGCAATGTTTCACAATACTAAATATATGGTAATGGAGTCTATTGATTTCAGAGAGTGTACAATCAAATAATAAGAAACAAAGAATTTTTTGTTTTATAATTACTGATTATCTCCATTCAAAGAATTACATTTTCTAAGAGCTACAAAGAAAATAAATAGCATTGCAGTCTTCCTAAGGAAACAACAAATCCATGTGGAGACAGTCTTGCTAAACATTCTCAAATACTGCCATCAAGACCGCATTTAATGGATTGTTCAGAGGAAAAGTAGTCATAGAACTTCAGCGATATGTGGAAATATTTGAATCCCAATACTCACTCCATAAATACTTGTTAAATTATAAAATATATTATTCTCAATTTTCTTAAGGGGAAATTGAGGCACAAGTGGACAAATTCATTGATAGTCTTATTCATTCAAAAATAGAGGCAGAACTATGACTTAGATGGTAATCTCTACAATCAGCTTATTTTGTAAGAAATCATATATAAGCAAAAAAAACAGTTCAAATACTTCACATATATTTAGGAAATTACTTTCATAAAATCAACGTAAAAAGTGTAAACAGAATGTAAAAAGCAATATATATTAATAAATAAGCCTACATTTATAAAAGATTAGTCCAGAATTATTCTATCTATATGATTACATAGATTGCAGATTTTATCTAGGTCTATTAACTGTAATTACCTGAAAATCAAGCTGTCTTGATTCATTTAAAGCAGAAAGAACAAATATATCCAAGACATGCTTTAATTTGTGGCATGTGAAGCAGTGGTTATAATAATCAGAGAGTGAAAAGAAATATATATTGCTAAACTCAAATTAGTTCTCATTTTCCACGGATGGTTGAGGTTCTGTGTGGATATTTTAAAAGTCTTAGTCACTGTTGAATATCAAAATTAAACCTAAGAAAACCATGTAAAATTATAATATTATTTTCATGCTATGCATATTTTTTCTTGTCCCAAATACAAAAGAACATTATTTCAGAGACAGACAATAGTTGTACTTCCAAAAGGCTTTTCATGTAGTTTTGAGATAAAACAAAAAAGTATATTTGAACATTTTCTTATCTGTTGAAAGTGCTGGGTCAAAATATGACAGCAAATTTCTCTAAAAATATTAAATAATTTGGGTACAGAGTATCTTAGAAGCAAAGGCTTTACCATGTGCCTGGTTCTGAGATATGGACTGGTCTTAGGGGAAGAGAGTGTGACACAGACCTAGAGATGAAGCTAAGCCAGACATATGCTCTGTGGAGTGTCCTTTATTTATTTGAGGAAATGAAATCATGTCTAATATAGATATGATTACAAAACTTAGAAGCAACAGAAAAAGGTATTTATTTGTAGAAGATACACACACACACACACACACACACACACACACATTTACTTAACTTTTTAATACTGAACTACAGATTTTTCTATTGCATCATGAATAGCCGGGATTTAAATAAAGTTTGTGCATTTTCTAAAGTGTGTTGTACAACAGAGTAATTCTCAAATATAAGACATTTGTTTACCTTTCATTCATTTTGGATTTTTTGTCTATTTCTTTTCATTAAGATTATATCTAAACATGCAAGAAGTGGATACAGAAAAAATAGTAAATGATTAAAGCTGTATTTGAATTACTTTATATTCTATACCATTTTGGAAAACAATTTAGAATGACATCATTTAATTTTCTCCAAAAACAGCAACAAAAAAATCAACAAAAAGTCATAGGGTTATTTAGACTGGCCATTGCATTTTGAAGAAAAAGTTTAATTGTTATTGAAATACACAACATTCACATAATTTTGAGTATAAAATTTAGACCTGAAGAAGAGCTATGAACCTCTTTTCCCAAACCATCTTTGAGAAGATGAATAAACTGAGAAAGAAGTGGTTTAACAGCTAACAAAATGCTTCAGCTCATGACACCAAATGATTTTTGTAAGATGTTTAATATTTGTGTTTTTTTATGTGATCTTTCAATTATAAATCAGAAGATGTATTGAAAAATATCCAGAAGAGATGATGATAACCAAAATAATAAACTTCTATGTATAATTTTATGATAAACTAAAAAAAGAATCCTAAAGTGTCTTAAATATTCTTCCATTTACATAATATAATTTATAACTCAACATTTTCCCAAATTTATCTGAATCTCAAGATGCTTTCTAAAAATTCAAAATGTTGCCTTAGTTTATCATTAGTCTTCAAATTAAAGACAGCAATATTATTAAAGAAGTAAACAAATATGAATTTGAAGCTGTATTTGTATTATTTAAAAGAAGAGCTTTTTAACAGATACTCTTTCAAGTTGCAAATATATAAATGAGATGATGTTTTGATCTGATTTGTTCTGACATGTCTGCAGGCAGAATGCTTTTCAAGTCATCGCTGTGGACGGGGTCTGCAGTGGGATTATTCAGTGCCTCTCTGATGAAGACTGTATTGACTGGCTTCAAGCAATAGCAACTAATATTTCAAACCTCACAAAGCACAATGTAAGTAGTGATTGAAGGGACACCTGGCCATAGAGTTTCTCCCCTTGGTAAATTTCTTCAAAAATATATATACATATAAAACTAAGCATCAACTGCTTGGAGTTCATCTAAGAAAATCCATCATGAAATCTTTCTAGAATAATTATCAAAAGAAAATTACTTTATTTTGAGTTTTGGCCCAAACTATCAGTTCAAGAACATTTTCCCACATGTTTCCTGCTAAACATCTACATTATTTAAATAAGTGAAAATAAACATTTTGCGTGTAATCATTAAGTACACATATAGATAGATGATAGATAAATCAGTATAAGATGTAGACATTTATCATCTATCTATCTATCTATCTATCTATCTATCTATCTATCTATCTATCTATGTCATCTATCTACCTATCATCTATCTATATGTGAAAGTATTCTGGACTAAACCGGTACAAAATATCCAGAGTATTGTTAATTTTCCTTTAGTGACATTATAATTGCAGGTAGAATTTTTGAAGTAGTTGGAGGGAAGAGTTAAAAGAGTTAGCATGGAGACTGAAGATCTTGCCTAAGTCTGCACTAGTACAGGATCAATTAGAAGACATTGTTGAATATGGTAACTACCACATTAGAGCCATGTCTATATTATTAGGAATGGCTTCTCTACTTTTTGTCTGTCTTTCTACTTCAACTTTCTTCATTCTTGTCTCTTTATTATCACTATCCACTCATTATCACTATTGATTAATAATTAATTTAGTTTTAACAAAATATGCAAAATCATAAACCTCATTTCATTGAGTACCAATGCATATCATTTAAAATTGTTAAAATATATTAGCTATCATACATGTCTTAATACTTTCCTATTTCTGCAACTGTGTTATGCCATGTTGGAGCATTTAAGAAGTCTTAAGGAAAATTCAGAAGTCTGATATATAAATGGTTAAGTGAAAATATGTAACTTTTTCATCAATTCATGAACATATAAAACTTTCTTCACATAAATGACCCTTTAGACCCAAATATCTTTGCACAGACTTTACTTTGAAATCTTTGAAATCTAAAAAAGATTGTGTCAAATATTTCTTAAAAGTAGAAGGGCCATCAACCATTAAAGACAACATTGCCATCATAAATAACCATGTACCTATATCTTAAGTGGATATTGAAGGGATTATCTGGGAATGGAATTGATAGGCATGGGATATGTACCTGTTCAACATTTCCTGATAATGCCAAATATTTTCCAAATTACTGGTCAGTTTACCCAGTTATTCTCAGTGGCTGACAGGTCTTTTTCCACAGGTCACCTCAACAATTCGTATTATCATGTCTTTTTAATTTTTGGTTATTTGGTATGTGTAAAACTATATCTCATTGTGGTGTAAAAGGAAGTGGACTTTTTTTTTTTTTTCTCATGGTACCTAAATAGGTACAACTACACAAAACCTTACCTGGGACATCACTCAATAAGGAGTCCTGGCCTAGGCATATCTGGCTTGGGCAAGAATTACCCTGTAACACTCAATCTTTGTTAATCTGGTGGTATCATCATACTAGAATTGCAGAAAATGACAAGAGGTTTCAGATTGACCAAAAAAAAAAAGTAGTGTTTCTCTGAGGATCATGCCTCTCCGCAATACTTACTCTCTAATAGAGATGTTCCAGGATTAAAGAAAAGAGAAAAATACTTTGTGAGAGTATCGACTATTTCATTACATAAAATTTTTAGAGTGTCCAAAATGAGCCAACAACCTATATTTATTAGAAAAAAATTAAAAAGAACAGGATGTTAAATTGTAAATCCAATGTTTTTCTCTTTACCTAGATCCAAATTTATATTGACCCCAAATCCTAGGAATTCTCTTATAAAATTTGTGATTCTTTGGAATGTATGTTTGAGTAGAATGCTGTGATCCAGAAAGCAAGCATATGAAAAGTCAACATTTCTTTAAAAAAAAAAAAGTGAAGGTATAAATGCCACTATCCTCTGTAAGTGTTACCGGAGTGAAGGAGTCCGTCTGCCTGCGCGCGTCTATGTCAATGAGATACATATAGGTTTTGCACCAAAGAAAATAAAAGGTTTATTTTAGAGTCAAATATTCTGGAGACGTAAGTGAACTATTGCTCTCAAAAACCTGGTTCCCTAGGTGTCTTGAGGGGATAGATTATATAGGGAAAAATCAGTTGTCATGGAAGCTAAGGGAGTTAGGGGTCACGGGTAATTGATCATTGTATCCAGTTGGACTCAGTCGTGGGTGTCATCCCGTCTGGTCCCATGGCAGATGAGGACCTGGGGTTGAAACACATATAAAGCCAAGAAGTTATCCTTAGTTTAACCGAAAGTTATTGTCCTCCTGGTCTATAAATCTGAGGCTTCATTCTTAAAAGATTTGACACTGGTCGGAACCTAATGTCTTAAGGCTTAATGGTTGAAGGAGTAGGTTTGCGAAGGTAAAAGGATAAGGGCGGAATAAAAGCAAGAGAGTCACAGGTGCCATTACTAAGCAAAACCAGCTTGAATCAAATAAAAAGCTACAAAAAAAATCTGGGTATGGTTACCTGAGCACAAAGAAAGAATAGCCATATTTTACTTCTTGCTTTTCTCTCTTTTAATAAGTGCTCAGCATGAAACTTAAGAAAGCAGACAGTTCTCCTATCTATTATTTTAGCTGCTGAGAGATTTATATGTTTATTATGCTATTGTAGTTTTATAAATTCCCTCATTGTTCTTTAATCTCCTGTGATTGTGTTTAATTGTATGTCTTGTTGATCTTATAATCAGTTCTTACTCAAAAGCACCCATGATTACAATACACTCTCATATATGTAGTGCTATATAAATGTTGAAAAGTTGTTACACATAGTAATAATAATGTTACTTTAGTGAAGGTATGATGACTGCATTATTAATACAGTTGATACGGTTGATTAGTATAAAGAAAGAATTTAGGCAGATTTGATAGTAAGTAGAAAAGTTTCTTTTAGCATTTTCAGATGCTCATTCTAGCTCTTTTAATATTTTTTTTAATTCTAAAATGATACTAGAAATCATTCCTTTTAGAAGGATATAGAACTATTTTTATATCTGCAAATACTTTGAGGGTATGTAGGCTTATGTAAAGTCTAACTCTGAATAGTTTACTTGTTATTATTAGGTACAAAGGAAAAATATTGAGACAACTATCTAAGGAAACTTTAATCTAGAGATTAGCATGCATAAGAATCAATTTGAAAAAATTAATTAGAAAATGCTTACAAAATAAGTGAAAAAATCATGCTATTAAAATGATGTGCTTGGAATGTACATATATACATATCTATATGTATATTTATACACAAATAATGATAGAATAAAAAGAGAAATATTAAAATTTAATTTTGTAGAAACTTTTTTATGATGAATCATGTTTTAGTGTGTAGAACAATCAGGGAATAGACTGAGGAGAAGGTTAAAAGAAAGAAAAAAAAAACAGACCAGTACTAGAATCACTGGAGCAATATAAGATTCATTTTCTATTCTCTTTGCTCACTAATTTCAGCAGTAATAATTCCATGAAATCGGGAGATTTTCATACCAGTTTTATGTGAAAATTCTATGCAATTACAGTTGCAGGCAGAAAAATTAATTTTTCCAAGTACAAAAAACACATTTATATTTTACCATTATTCAAGGTGGCTCCAAAATATTTACGATGCACTTAGTAAATGGTGTGCAGTAAAAAAGGATGTTTTGGGGACTTGTATCAAAGGTGTGCTTGCACAGAAGCCCATTCATTTTACTTAAATTATATGCTTAGACATTGAAAAAGGAGGAATGGCAGAGGCTATGATTTTGTGGGATGGTTCCAACTAAACCCTAAACCAATTTCCATTGGGCATTTGTTATTATTTTGCATAAAATAGACTTTAAAGATTGATAAAGGTAAAATTCATGAACTCTAAAAACAGTAAAATGCATGAATTGTAAATAACAGTACTTGCTTCAAGTTAATATTATTTCTATCCTTCATTATTTTACCATATATATGATCAGTATCTGTGGAAAGTTATTAATTTTTATTTCCATGATCAATTTATATTAAATAGCTAAAGATCTTAAAATATGCTGATGCTGTAATGGTATGGAATTCTTGGAAATCCAGGGAAGGAGTAAAAGTATTTTGCATATAGAAATATGCATTATTGGCTCAGTAGGAAGGTTTTGGTAGGCTAAAAGTGCTCTCGATTATTTTAACTTCCTGGTAGTCACACTCTTATGCAATCCTGTCCCCTACATATGGGCTGAAAAGGGAGCTTAAAAGCAGATGCTTTCCTGTCAAAATTTCAAATGATTCTACAATTTCAATTGACTCTTGATTACAGACTATGAGAGACTTGGAAAGAGGGGCCCCAGCTAAGCCACACCTGGATTTCTGACCTACAGAACTAATGTGAGAGTAAGTTTTCCTAAGTATTGGAGTAACAGGAATAAGGAACTATATTTGGTTCCTAGAGCTGCTGTAGCAAATGATTACAGATGTGGTAGCTTAAAACAACATAAATTTAATCTAGAAACGAGAAGTCTTGAATTGAGGTGCCAGTAGGGCGACATTCCCTCTGTAATGTCCAGGGGAGAATCCTTTCTTTTCTATTTTAGCTTCTGGTGGCTGTCAGCATTTCTTGGCTTCCATGGCTTGTGGCCAAACCACTCTAATCTCTGTCTTCATAGTCACATCACCTCTTCTTTTGTATGCCTATTATCCTGTATGTGTCTCATAAGGATATTTGTGATTAAATTTAAGGCCTACTAAGGTAACTAATCCAGGATGACCTTACCCCAGGATCCTCAACTTAATTATATTTGCAAAGATCCTTTTTCCAAATAAGGAAACATTTCCAGGGATTGACATGGGTAATTTTTTTTCAGGGGGGCAGTCATTTTTTTGGCCTACCACAAAACTAATACAGAAGATAAACAACACACTTAGATTTAGATATTGTTTTGTCTTACCTTCTTTGGCAGTGTCTTTA